GGAGGGGCTCGGAGTAGAGCCGCTGCTCCTCCACGTGGAGAGGAGCCAGTTGAGGTGGCTCGGGCATCTGTTCAGGATGCCTCCTGGTCGCCTCCCTGGGGAGGTGTTCCGGGCTCGTCCCACCGGGAGAAGGCCCAGAGGAAGACCCAGGACCCGCTGGAGGGACTATGTGTCCCGGCTGGCCTGGGAACGCCTCCGGATCCCCCCGGAGGAGCTGGCGGAAGTGGCCGGGGGGGGGGCCTGGGCCTTCCCTCTCCCGAGGGAAGTCTGGGTCTCCCTGCTCCGGCTGCTGCCCCTGCGACCCGACCCCGGATAAGCGGAGGAGAATGGATGGATGGATGGATAAAAAAGCCCAGTCTTAGGTGACATGGTCTGTGAGTTGCGTGTTTTTTTGTTAAAGTAGCTTTTACAAGCTCCGTCTGAGCTCACAGCCATTGGCTGGTGATGGGCTTTCATCCATTTTGATAAGTCAGAGAGACGGTCTGAGATGCTGAGACCGTATGGTCATCAGGTGGAAATGACAGATCCCAAAACATGGATGCTTCCTTCACTGAAGAGCAAAAATAGTAGTGATGAGGCCTTGTGATGGACTGGGCTGTCCAGCCTCTCTTCCAGTGTGAGCTGGGGTCGGTCCATAGCCAATGGATGGATGGACAATATCCTAACTAGATAAATGACAATAACTAACTTTTATGTGTTTTCCCTCCTCAGACTGAGCGTCTGTAACCTGTCAGAGAGCAGCTGTGAAGCTTTGTCCTCAGCTCTCAGCTCAGAGTCCTCCAGTCTGACACATCTGGACCTGAGCAACAACAACCTGCGGGATTCAGGGATGAAGCAGCTCTCTGAGGGGCTGAAGAGTCCAAACTGCAGGCTGAAGGGTCTCAGGTCAGGATGCACTGAACTGTTATTCAAAATGGAAACTGCGTAAATGTTTGTTATGCAAGTGCTGAGTGTTTGTGTGTTTCTTAGATATAACAATTTTGAAGTTCTTTCCATTCCTTTTGAAAGAATGATGTATTTAATGTCAGCAACAATCAAAACTAGACAAAACTTGAAACATATCTTTGTAAATACTCATCTTTGTCTTTGGATGTCAGTGTCAAAACATCAGTTTTGTTATAATTTTGAAAAAAATGTTCCGTATTGTCCATTGTGGGCATCACAATTGTTTAATTGCAGTTTCCTTACAGGGACTGACTCTTTTGTTGTTTCCTGCAGCCTTTCAGGATGTCTGATTGAAGAAGCAGGCTTTTTTGCTTTGGCCCCAGCTCTGACCTCCAACGACTCCCATATGAAAGAGCTGGACGTGAGCTACAACCATCCAGGACCTTCAGGGATGGAGCAGCTGCAGGCTGCTATGAACCTTACCCACAGACGCTGTCGGCTGGATATTTTAAGGTTTGAAGAGTTCTGCATCGGAAAACGCACTAAGATTTAGCCTCAAGTGGTGCGCAACTACCCATGCAGGGCAAAAAAACAGGAACATGTAACGTCATTTGTGTTACCACACGCCTTTGCATATCTGTCCAGCTAGGCATTCCTGTGTAGCCATTCCTGTCTTGTTATTTTGCAACCGCCACCAAACTCAAATCTGAAGAGTTCCTGGCATTGAAGAGTTATATATATTATTATTATTATTATAACATATACTTTTTGGAGCAGTTGGAGTCTGTGTCATGTAACATCAAATGTCCATGTCTCCATTAGGGCTACAACGATTCGTCGACGTTGTCGACAAAAATCGATAATAGAAAAAGTCGACAATGAATTCCATTAGGACGTCCCCACTTGGGGGCGTCCTTCCCCAACAACAAAAGAGTCAGTCCCTGTAAGGAAACTGCAATTAAGATTTAAGCAACAATAAT